TTAGATCGCATTAAAAAGCATAACTATGATTCATAAGTATTTCATTTTTATATGTATTTCGTTACTAGCAATTTTGTTAGTTCGTAATATAATTACTTCATTGTTTGTTTTTATTTATTCGCTACGATTGTTTAAACAATATGAATAATGCGAATATGCTTATTGTTTTATTACGTATTTAAATTTGCGCTGCAATTTGTTCTGCGATATATGTATTATTCACCATTGTTTTACGACCAGAAACTTCTTTGCAAATTACAAGGACGACGAAATATTTTGCGTTGACAATGGTTATGGAGAACAAACACAGAATTATAATAAATAAATTGAATAATATTATTCAAAATACACAATTAAACGAGATATTTCGAGATTTAAAAAAAAAAATAAAACCAAAATTGAACTCTAGTGGTGCATGGCATGGTGCCTTAAGGCAAATTGATGAAACTTTCCGTACTGAAATGCAAAATTCGAGAAATTTTAAATGTTTTTGACTTGAAATCCAAATAATTTTAAATATATAAAGAACAAAATTTTGGAAATTAAAAAAAATGAAATTTGAATTAAAAAAAAATTGCATTCCTCAAAAAAAAACTTATTTCTTTACACTGTCAACACAAGCTAAATGTTTTTTGAATCATATGATTCGTTCTCCTAATAACTGATATTTTTTGCATATTTTGCTCCGTATCTTCGAAACGGCTGGTACTGCCTTTGCAAAAAATTAATAAGCACGACTACCCGTCAATACGAACCGAATATTTTTTGAATCATTCTAATCGGATGCCCAGTTCTCGCAAAAACCAAGTTTCCAGTATCTGCACTTTTTACTCTGTATCTCCAAAACGGCTTGACCTGACTCTACTAAAACTAATCAGCACATCTTTTTATCGATAGGAATCGAATGCTTTTTGAATCATTCAAATCGGTTGATCCGTGCTATCGAAACGTGGACGGGAAATTGTATCCACACATACATACACGAACACAGACACACACACATACATTCTTTCTAAGGTGCGCCAAAATGTTCGGAAATTGCTGAAACGTAAAGATATGCAAAAATTTTGATTTTTGATTTTTGGACGATTACCATAACTCTTCGGCAAGTTAATTATAGTTTATTTTTTAATTCTAGTATCTGCAAAAATGTATTTTAGTCTAAGGCTACTATACTATTCGTTCATAATCAATGCCATTGCATTTTCGAAATGTAAAGACATTAGAATCTAAAAATATCATTGTATCATCGATATCTTAATAAACTTTTGGCAAAGATGCACAAGACATACTAATACAGTGGTTGCCAAAGTAGGAAAATTAACTAGCTGTAAGTGGAATTCTGTCTTAAGGCAATTAGGGCATCGTGCCTTAAGGCAAATTGCGGGAACTTCCCGTACCAAAAATTATTTTTTTTTTTTAAAACGATTAACATTTTTGAAAAAAATTTACTTCGAATTAAAAATATATTAATTTTTGAGAAACTAGGAATATGAAAAAAATTATTCTTTTTGAAAAAAAAATTTTTATTTGAAAAAAAAATTTTTTTTTGAAAGACAATTTTTTTTTTTGAAAAGAAAAATGTTTTCTTCATTTTGACATATTTTGGAAATTCTGAACTTTTTTCAAAGCAATCGTACTGCTTGAACTGCATAGAGACGAATTGTCACAGCGCAAGTGCCGCGCCGCCGTCTAACGCATAAACATTGGTACGGAACCCATAGAATGTAAAAAAAATATAAAAATTAATTAATTATTGTTAAAATTTCTATACAATATCTGATAATTTGATGTGCATGTGTCTAATCATCATTTTTAACCGTCGAATAGCATTTTTTTTTACTTTTTTCATTAGATCTCCGAAACCGCTAGACCTGCCTTCATGAAAATTTTATCAACTCTTCATCTTGCCAATACAAGTAAAATGTTTTTTGAATTATTCAAATCGGACGCTCCGTTCTCTAAAAACTGAGTTACCGTTTTCGGCACTTTTTGCCCCGTATCTTCGGAACGGCTAGACCTAACTTCGCCAAAAACTAATCAGCACGTCTCCTTATCAGTATACGAATCGAATGTTTTTTGAATTATTCAAATCGGTTGATCCGTGTTCCCGAAATCGTCGACGAAAATTTGTATCCGCACATACATACACACACATACATACATACACACA